AGAAAGGGGCGGAAGAGGCAAAAAAAAAAAAAAAGAGGACGAGGAAGGGCCGCAGGGTGGGACCCCGGGGCCTCTGGTGCTCGGATTATCATCAGCTGAGTCCCTGAATAAGGAAGAGGGCCTGGGGTTTTCTTTGCACATTTGCAGCTGCATGGCCTGGTATGGGGAAGGAAGAGGGAGGGCAGGCCGGCAAGAAGCCCGACAGAAGCATCCAGACCGTCAGAAGATCCAACAAAGCACCACCGGGATGCGCATGCCAGACCACTGAGATGTCGGCCCCTCCTGCTCCTCTGGGTGCCCCCCACCCCCAACACTGACACCTCCAGCCCCACGCACAGATTTATCTGCAAAGCCTGCCACAATCTCGCTATTGGATTTGCAATCACAGGCTCCAGTGTTCACGGGATAAATATACTAACAAACTAATTGTTTGTTAGCTCTGAGGTTGGAGCAATCAACACGTCCAACGTGAGATATGGGCCACTCGCTGGCTGGAATCCAGGCCGTCCCAAGGCTCCAGGGCCTGGTGCCATGGGCACCCTGAAGGCCCAGGCTGGGTGCTGGCCCATCTGTGTAGGGGTGGCGCAGGCAGGAGGGATTCCGAAACTCACTGGCACGTAGCCGTCGCTGCCCCTGCCTGAGCCTTGTCAGTGGCAGACATAAACTAACTTGGTTCCTGGGGACCCCAGAGGAACAGCAGGAACTGTTTGGTAGAGAATTATAGCTGTGGGTGAAATTAGATGTACTCTGAGCCCCAAGGCTGAGAGAAATAAAAAGCATTTTAAATGGAGTGTAGAATTCATATTCCTCAGTCACCTTCCAATAAATAAATCTTGTACCATTTTTTTTTTCTGTAAACAGTGGTTACACTCGGCTTCTATGGCTTCTATTGTCTGCACATCCCATATGCCAATTGGCTGGGAGTGGCAGGCTGGTGCCGGAGTAGCAGGGAAGAAACTGGGGTAACCCCGAAGTCAGGGGCCACTGGACCTGGCAGCTGCCCTGGAGGTGCCCCCCACCCTGCTTTAAGGAAGCATCAGGAGGATCCTGGCATCCGAGCCCAGCCTTGGACACCCCATGGGGACTCTTGAGGCAAGGTACGTGAAATGGGTCTCCCCACCCCACAAAATCTGAGAGTCGGGCCCAGGGTGTCTCTGGCTGTCCTGGTCAGTGTCCTCCAGGAAGTTAAACAGTCCACAGGGACTAGCAGCTGGGGACAGCCCTGCAGGCCTCTTCAGGCCAGCTTCCATTGTTTCTCGTTTTCTTTTTAAAGGCTTTTGCCTTCCAGTTGCAAAAATGGTGCCTCCTCACAAGAAAGATGTAGAAAACAAAACTGCAAAGAAGAAAAATATCACCAGCAACCCTATCACCCTGAAAATAATAATCCCTGCTGATATTTTGGTATTTTTCCTTGCAGACTTTTTTTCAGGATGGATATGCACATAAATAAATACATTGTTTTACACAAAAGAAATAATCTTTACATTTACTGAGTGCACAACATGTACCAGGTACTGTTTCAGGCATTTTGAATATATTATCTCTGAATCTTACATCAATCCTGAAAATAAAATAAGAGGAATTCATATTTAATATTTCTACTAAGCTATATGGCTAATAGAAACAATACAGGCTCCCATGCTGGGGGGCCTCAGCATGGGCCTGGTACATTAAGCTGTGCCCAGACCTGCACAGTCACCTGAGGACCCTGTGCACCCTGAGAGGTGGGTGCCACTGTGGACCCTCGGGAGGTGAAGGGACTTCCCAAAGCCATGAAGATTGTGTGGGCAAAATCACAGTACAAACTCAGGGCTGTATGGCCCCAAGTGTGCGTGCTTCCAGCCCCCCACTACCATGCCTCACACTCAGACCACCAGGGACATTGCCCTGGCCCTTGGGCAGTGGGTCCAGGACCCGTCCTATCTGCCTGGGCCCTTGGTACTGCAGGGGAGGTCCATTCCCCTTCATCTGAGACTGAGGCTTCGGCACCTGCCCTGATCCTGCACAGGTAGCTGGTAGCGGGAAGGCAGAAGAAAGAGCTGGAAAGGGGGAGGTTTGGGCTCAGACAGGCACAGCTGCAGTCCCAGCTTGGCCGCTTACTAGCTGTGTGTCCTCAGGGAAGTCACCGCCCCTCTCAGGCCTTATACTCTTCAGCTTGAGAGTGGAGATAATAAATAATCCTTAGGGCTCTGTTGAAAACCAAGCCAGATCATTACATGAAGTGCTTAGCACAAAAGTTGGCTCTTCTAGATTAAGAACAAGATACCCTGGGGCTGGGAGTGTGGCTCAGTGGTACAGCACTTGCCTAACACGCATGAGGCCCTAGATTTGGACTCCAGTGCCTCAGGAAGAAAAGGGAACGAGACATCCAGGAAGAAAAAAAACCACACCACCAAACCCCAAGCCAAGACACTGGGACACACATCCTGGCTCTCCCTGCCCCATACTGTGACTGGCTGGCACATACCCACTGTACAGAATGCCAGGGAGCAGGCTGGCTCCTGAGAAACAAGGGAAAGAAGAGGCGGACCAGGGATTTAGCTCAGTGGTTCTGGCGCCTGCCTCGAAAGCGCAAGGTCCCGAGTTCGATCACCAGTACCAAAAAAAAAGCCTCAGAAAAGAAGAAGAGCTGGTGCCTTTACAGAGCTTCTCAGCACTCTAATGACACCACCCTGCTTCCTAGGGGCAGAAACCCCATGGGGGTGGGACCTCATGGACCTGGGAACCCATCCCCCCACCAAAGGAGAAGCAGTCCAGGTCTTCTTTGAGTGGAAAATGTTCCCCGGGGGAACAGAGAGAAGAGGGACCCAAGGAGGATCTGTGCTTGACACTCAGTTCTGCCCTTGACCACCCAAGTCTGAGGGTCACCCCTAGCGCCTCACTGGGCCACAGCAGCCCAGGAGGCCTTCCTGGAGGAAGAGGCACTAGGATGAAAGACATGGGGTGAGTGAGGAGCGCGTGAGCTGAAGGAACCCTGGATTCGCTGGTCGCGGGCTGACGCCAGTAGGACTCCGTAGGAGTCTGGCCCCTGTGGGCCTCAACTCCCCCTCTGTGAAATGGGGACGGCAACACCCCATTAAACTGCAAGGGCTGAGCCGGTAGGAGCAAATGCACCATGAAGAGAATGTTCTACTCTGCCCACAGCAGCAGCTGCCTCTGGGGTGGCCAGGACTCCCTTCTTTCCAGGGCCTTTGGTCATTTATTTTTGGTTAATTAAATGGTAAGATTTTCATGTCTGATTATTTACTGCCAGCCGGCTTCATTACCAGCTCCCCCATAAATCACAGCAGGCGAGCCTGGCTCCAGCAGGCCCACCTCCTCCTCCATCTGTGCTACTCCCGGGCAGAAGCCCCTGTCCCCAGAAGAGCTCAGTCTTTGGGGTCCAGGAGAGGTGGGAGTCGTCGCATTTCTTGTCCTGAGAGAGGCACCCAGACTTCTCCTGACCCCCAGCGCCACCCCAGCTCCACATCATCAGGACCACAGCTGGAGGCTCCAAAAGGGTCAGCCCAGAAGAGAGACTCGGCGGGACAAGCACCTACTCCAGGCCTCTTCCTCGTGAGCCTATTGCCATGGTAGAGCCATGCTTACAACCAGCATCTGAGGCACAGACAGTCAAGCAACTTCCCTGAGGTCCCACAGCTGGCAGTGGGGAGCGAGGATTCGAACTCAACCATCTGGCACCAGGATCTGGGCCCAATCACTCTGTGTTGAGGAAAGAGCAGGCCTTGGGGTCAGACAGACCTGGATTCAAATCTCAGGTCTAATACCTACAAGTATAACAGGACCTTCATTGCTGCGCCTCATTTTTCTCAGGGAAACCCCAAGGACGAAGGTTCCAGGGTGGCTCTTTAGCTCCGGCCTTCACCACTGGATGGAAGACAGACTTGGGGTGGGCAGCAAGCGAGGTAGCAAAGGCAGCCAGCTACCAGCTCCCGTGTGACCTGGATCCCAGAGGCTGGCAGGGGCCACAGCTATCCAGATAGATCTCTGTCCCCAGACCCCAGCACCCACTGGACACAGAGTGAGGTGCTCAGCTCAGATCCACTGAATGACTGAGTGAATGAGTGAACAGTGAAGGAAAAACCCAAGTTAACAAATCAAAGACTGGAGGAGTAAATGAATGGACAAAGGGACGAGCAAACCAATGGTCGATTAGACCAATGGCTGCATGGAGGAGCCAATGAATGAATGAGCAAAAGAATAAACAAACCCTTGAATGAACCAATGACTAAACATTGGGTGAATTGGAAAACAGAAGAGCACACGGTCAGATAAACAAAGGAATGAATTGATGGTAAATTAACAAAGAGGAAGGATAGAACGGAAGAGGGAGGGAGGGAGGAGAGGAAAGAAAAGAGGGAAGGGAGGAAAAGGAAGGACAAGAGGAGGATGGGCTGCCAGGCCAGGCCCGGCACTGAGCAGCTCCCAACAGGAACGTGGGCCCTCAGATGGGGGCCCCTGCTCCCCAGGCCCAGCCCCTCCTTCCCAAGCTGGTGGGCACCTCCGTGTGCACACCAGCGGGTCTGGGGCTCAGGGAGCCACCTCGCTCCTGGCAGCCTTGAAAGCCAGGCCGGGAAGCGGTTGGCTTTGCCAAGTACCCGGTCGAGTCTTTAACTATTACATTAAGCATCTGCTTTGCCATTCACGGATCGGATAGCATTTTACCCCTGAGATATTTGATTTTATTACCTTCCAGGGAGAGGGCCAAGCAAGTGTTCTTATTGATTTGCACATTAAATATATTAGTAATAAAACAACATCTCCGTAAACCAATTGTAAAATCAATATTAATTGGTACCAAAATATCACAAGTAGTTGAATTACAATTAAAGGAGGGGCAGGTTCTGCCTCAGGGCACAGGGTGCAGAGGTCTCAGAAGAGAGAGGGGTTGGGAGACCAGATTTCAGAATCAGGCAGACCTGAGCCTGAGTTTCCTCAGTTTCCTCATCTGCTAAATGGGGATGATCATTTTAACAGCAGAGGTTCGGGAGGATTAATGAGGTCTCACTTGGAAGCGGGGGTGGGGGCTTAGGAGACACCCTAAATGTGGCTTCCCTCCCCCAGCCTCGGTCGCATCCTTTGTGAAGAGGAAATAGAAATGTCCCTTCGGGCCCTTGCTGTGCATGTTAAATGCTCTAATAGATGATTATTGTTGTCACAAAAGGCCCCTGCACGAAGCTTGCTCTGTGCAGGGAGCTGTACCAAGCCCCTTCCCTGTGTGATCTGGTGGAATCCACAGGACAATTCCCGGCTGCTGCTTGACAGGGGAGGAAACTGGGGAACAGAAAGGGAAAGCGACTTGCCAACAGTCACACAGGGCTGGCGTCCCAAAGCAGGTCTGTCTGCCTCCTCGGCTGCCTTTTCACAGCCCACGCTGCTCCCTCTTTTGCCAAGAGTGCCCTGGAGGCTGTCGCTGCCGCTAGGGAGGGCAGACGAGAAAGCACTGGGCAAACCCCAAAAGGCTCTGCTCCTCGAAGCCTGCAGACGACCCTCATTCCGCAGAGATACAGTGGCGCAGGTGGAGTCCCTAAGGACTGGGCACTGTGCCCTCCACCTGCCTCCAGAGGCTGCCTCCCGGGTCCCTGCGGCACCTGTTCCTCCGACCAACATGATGGTTCGTCTGTGCTCAGATTGGCCGTCTGGAGGAACCCCAGCTGGCAGGGTGACCCGTCACCACTGCAAGACACCAGCCAGAAGGCTGTCTCCACCCCAAGCCGAGGAAGAAGTCATGCCGCGCCCCCACTTTCCCCAGACATGCATTCCTCTGCAAGCTGACCGTGCCAGAGGGTGCAGACCCCTGGAAAGAGGGAGACAGAGGGGCACAGAGGGCCCAGCAGAGGCACCGGTGATTCCTTCGCTGACAGTGGAGAATCCCAGCCTAAGAACGCAGAGCTGTGCTGTGCCCCGGCCTCTGCCTCTGGGGACGGGGTGCTGGGGGCAGCCCAGCCCAGCAAGGGTCTGGTCACCATGCTCGGCCAGCAGCCCCCATACAAAGGCACCCAGAGCTCTCAGCCCCAGAGAGCTGGGGTTTTCTATAAAGCGGGGAGTGAGTAGGAGATCCTCAGCCAGCACTGCCCACGATCCCCGCTGTGCCTGCCGTGTGTGACTGCACACGTGCGTGTGGACACCTGTGTGTGTGGAAGCAAGTGTGCACTCGCGTGCCTCACACGTGTGTGCGCACGGACACAGACACGGCACTGCACACCCGCAGTGTGTGCCACACAGGACAGCCTTCACACGTGAGCTCACACGCACTCGGGCACGCGCCTCTGATAAAGAGACCGGGACTGCACAGCGACGTGGCTGTGGGCGCTGGGTGGGGAGGCGGGGACCCCGGCACTCACCTCCATCCCCCCTCTGCCCAATTCCCCACTTCTTTAAGCTGGAAGGGCTCAGTGCAAAGGTCAGCTATTAATTAATTTTATTTTGCTTTAAGAGCTGCCACTACCTCTGCAGCGGTATTTGGCTGAGCCTTGGTAAACAATTCCAGCCACGGGGACTTAGGCATTGCGTTGCCCACACACAGAGGACTGTCGCCCCCCATCTCCCCACGACCAACAAGGCCCAGCAAAGCGAAGAAGAGGAGAGGAGCGATGGCTCAGTGGTCTCGCAGCCCCACCGCCCCTCCTCCAGCCCACTCCCACTCAGGAAGATACCTGTGGCCAGAGAGCCGGGGCGAAACCAGGCTCCAGGTCTCTCCTCGAGGGAGGCCAGAGGGTGCCTTTCTCGTGCCATCCCTTCGTTGTAAATAATGCCGAAAATGAGGAGTTTTTAAAGAGTGTCCGGTGGGAATCTGGAGCCTTGTTTTAATTATACAAAAGCAGCATGGGTGCTTGGGCAGATGTTGGTGCTAATCGTTTTGAAAGCAAGCCCTCTTGGCTTGGAGAATCCCAGCCTGGGCACATGGCATCCTGTCCCCAGTGGACAGGCGGGACTGGCCAGGGCCGCGGCCTCTGACCTCCTGCCCTGACCCCACCCTCTCCCTCTAGGCTCTTGTCCTCGCCCGGCAGCCAGAGGACAGAGCGCCCAGCAAATGAGAAGCCGAGGGTCCAGATTACAGACAGAAGAAGCCAGGGAGGGCAAGGGTCAGTGCCGTCCACGTGCCCTGGGAGTCTGGGCTCCTCACACCGCACCCCGGGCCGTCCTTCACCCCACAGACTGTGCCATCGGGTCATTACCGGTACCCGTGGGCGGGGAAGAGGAGGCTGAGGGAAGTAACCATCCAACTAGGGAGCCGCAGAGCCGGGGGCCCAGCTCAGCTCTTCCTCCTGCCAGTGGAGGCTGGCAGGGTGAGGAAGAGCAGAGACGGCGGGCCAGGAAAGCGGACAGGAGGGCCGAGAACCGGCGGCTGATGGATGTCCACAGAGGTGGGCGGCGGGGAGGAACCGCACACGGGGCAAAGGCTGCTTTCACCCCGTCTCCTCCGGGAGCTGGGCTTCCGGTCAGCTGAGGGACCCCTTCTGAGACTGCCAGACTTGGGGGCTGCAGCGGAGGACCACCCCGAAGGAATGGGGCAGGTGCCTAACAGGCTAGCACTGCGGGAGCACAGCAATAAACACAAGAAGCAAACAGACAGCGACACCGGGTTACAAAAAGACAGAGAGGCAAAGCCAGAAAGGGACAGAGATGGCCCCAGCAGCAAGGAGCAAGGCGGGGCGCGGGGTGGGGGCCGGCGGCCCTGCGGAGGGACAGCCCCGGACGGGAGGAGGTGATGGATGGCGCGCCCATCAATTTCTGAAGGCCAAGGCTCGGAGAGCAGCAGAGTCAGTGAAATTTACATTATTAATCTCTTGTAATAATCTATGACTCAAGCAGGCTGAGAAAATAGCAGCGGCTACGCAGTGACCAGCCTATATAAATAACGGCTCTGCGCTCAATTTAATTGCACTCTAGTGAAAGTGCTCTTCTTGTATCTTTCTAATTACTTTAGTTTCATTAGGTCTAGGGGAGAGAGAGAGAGAGAGAGAGAGAGAGAGAGAGAGGGAACCAGAGAGGGTGGAGGGAGCGTCTCCGTTGAGCACCACAACAATGAAAAATTCATATTCCGATTTTTTTTTTGTTCTGTGAAATATTTAAATGTTAATAGCCATTCAGTCCCTGACATGCTATCTCACCAGTGTGGAGTTAAACAGAAAATCTATTTAATCTAAGGAATCTCATTAAATGGTCGTGGCAAGGCAGTGGCTGGAAGGTAGTCAATAGCGGGGAGAGAGGGGAGAGAGAGGGGGAG